TTCTGCCATGACAAAGTCATGCATTCTTGTCTTCCACCACCCATAGTATTGCCCATTGAACCTGGGTGGTCTATACGTAGACTGACCTTCTTCAAAATTTGGTGGAGCAGCCATAAGGATCCTTCCTAGGAAGAACCCGCTCTGATACTAATTGATAGTTTATATGAGTCCACCAAACTATAGAGTACCAGGTCCTCTATGAGTTTCCACTGAGAATGCTAATGAAACAGTAAGTAAATAAAACAGTGAGTTTTACGTGGAAAAATCCCTGCTCAAGGGGATAAAAAACTACGACCTACACTGGTAGGATTTTAACTTCACTATGAGCAACTTTTAGATTACAACCTATGGAATCTAGGAATTAAACTCTTAATCCCTCACTAACTTGTAATACACCTATTACAAGCCACTTTGCATTACACCTATTACAAAGACTTCAACTCATGACTAACTCTAGTCACGACACAAACACTAAGGGTTAATGGTTTTACAAAGGGGTTCCTAAGCAATGCTTCTAGCTAAGCAAATTAGGAGTTACAATGAAGAATAATTACAAAGTTACAACTCAACTAAGGACAATAAGATACTAGATTTAGGAAATGGTCCGTAGTAGTGTTAAACTTTATTCTTGATGAACTTGAGAATTGAATGCTCGAATATCAGATGGCTTGAATGCTTGAAGTGAATGCTCAGGTGTTCAAGTGATGTTTTGTTGTAATATTCTTGTTAATACAACTTGGATGACATCACATGAATGATGTAATCACTTGGTTGGTCAAAGGATAAGTGACTGCAGAACTGTGTTGCACTGTTTCTGTGTACAGTGCAGGCAGTCACTTTCCAGCTGTACACAGTTGACTTTGCACTGCTGTCAGGGAAACACAAGGGATCAGGTCCCTGTGTTGGTTCGCTATCTTTTGAAGTTGTAGCAGTTCACATAAGCTAGAGTCCGTTGATTTGCAATGTGTACCAAGTGTGTCAGGTTCCCTATTTGGTTCTTTGACAGTAAGTTTGTTAGATCATCAAAATATAAAGCTAAGACATTGGAAACCCATCACCTTCACCCGAGCATCATCAAATGCGGCCTCTGGAACATTCCCCGCCTCCCACAAACCCTTGTAAATATCTCGCTGGGCCTCGGCGTGGACCCATAGCTCATACAAACGGCGGGGGATCGCAGCAGAGGCAGATTCGACCTGGGCCAATAGTTGTTCCTTCTCGGCCTCGAGCGCCACGACGCGGTCTCCTAGGCTCGAAGTCTCCGGGTTAATTTTACCAATACGCTCCTCGAGTCGGGCCTCCCTCAGTGTGGTCGTTGCCCTCTCAGATTCCTGCTCATATTGGAGGACGCAGATAGTGTCCTCCAGCGCTGCCACTTTCGCTAAAGCCGACGTCCGAGCCTCCTCGGCATTTTCCATCTCGGCCACTTTCTTTTCCAACTCGGCCAACTTTCCCATCTATTCTGCACTCAAAGCTTCGACTCTGGTAGCATTTTGCTCAAGTTCGGCTTGTAGAGACAACACCTTCGCTTGAAGGTCCTCGCACTTCGCGACAATCCCTTTGCCCACCTTGAGTTCCTCGTCTTTGGTACGGAGCAGCTCCTCGAGCTCACTGCATCTGCGGATAGATTGCACCAGATCCTGATCTCTTTTCTCCAACTCCTCCCTAACGGATTGGGTGCTAGTACCCGCTCTGAGCCGCTCGTGCATCTCACGGCACTTATTGCGATACCGCCGATACTTTTCGAGCATTTTTAGAAAAATCTCGGCTCGTGTCTCAGCCCTACGAGGGCTCTCGACCTCCAGCATGTAAGACTGAAAACAAAAAGAGAGAAGAAGAAGAAAGAGAAGAAATGAGTCAGTAAAGAAAAAGGTCACAAAGCAAAAAAGAAACAAATAAAAAGGAACTCACCCTTAGGCCCATCGCGGCCACACCGCGTGACAACTCGGAGTCGCTGACATCCTGAAGAGCTCTGCTTTCTGCGGCAGAGCATAGAAGGTCAAACTGCGGCACAAAATCCACCGTGTCTTGCAGCAAGTTAAGATCCGACGGAATTTCGAGTATTCGGGAAGGGCCTCCCGCTCTCACTACAGTTCGGGTAAAGCCCTCCTCGAACATCCTTATGTCCTCAGGATCAATGTCGAATTCAGACTCATAATCATCAACCATGACGCCCTTCCCCCTCTCATCGGCCGAAGAAGGGGTGCGCGGCCGAGATGTCGAAGGACCGCCCGAAACAGCAACGACAGCCTTGGGACTCTGTCTCTCCACCACACCATCCTCTTGATCACTCACAACAGGCGTAGCCCTCACTGCCGGGTGGGCACCACCGCCTGTTTCGGTCACCTCCAAGGCAAGGTCGCCTCTCGAAGATGTTTCGGCCGGAGGAGTCTCTTCCAACACTACCCGTCGTCTCTTAGACGGGGCCTCTCCACTACCAGCGCGGGAAGATTCGCCCGTTGAACAGACTGTGGGAATCGGAGTCTCTAGCTGAGTAGCCTCAGCACGCACTACCGCGGGCGCAGATAGGGTAGTAGCTCTCTGCGCAGGCTGGGAAGCAGCCCTCGGTGCAGGCTGGGCGAGGGGCCCTCGTCCTTCGCGCTTTCTAACCTGCCGACAAGGAATGATTAGATCATATAACAAGGCTAAACTATGAGGTAAGGAATAAAGAGGAACTGCAGCAGGCCGACTCACCAGTAAGAGGATTACGCCCATACTTTTCATGAAAGGAAGCCCACTCACGAATCCCCATCGTATGAGGGAGAATTGCGCTCACCCACTCGCGGATATTGGCAACAAGCGGGAGGGGGGGGGTTTAATCTCTCGACTGCAAAAGCAAAAACGAGTCCTTAGCAATATCACCTAAAGGAGGACGATCGAAGACCATCTTAAGAAAAATCACAAAATAAACAAAGGAAAACTCACGAGCGAAGTTCCACGTCTCTGGAAACCCTGCCGAGTCCGCCACAAGGTACTCTGTCCGCACATAGAAGTAGCTTTCAGAAAAGCGGTGATTAGCCTTATCGTCCATCTTCACCACCAAACTCTTGGTTCCTCGATGGCGCAATTGGATCATCGTACCCCAAAGAAAATGAGGGGCAAAGATGTGAAACATGTGCCCCAAAGAAATTCCTCGGCCGGCGAGCTCCATGTACTTGATAAGCATAAGAAAGAGTTTGTACGCGTACAGCGAGAGTTGAGCCGGGCACACTTCGTAGAAGCGACATAAGTCTACCACTAGAGAGGGAAGAGGAAGCGTGTACCCGATAACAAAGGGGTACCCGTAAACTGTGTAGTACCCCGGGAGGTGCAAATGTACAATATCTTTCCCCGCCGTCGGTACCATTTCGATATGGGCAGGGATTCCCCACTTGGCCTTGAGCGTCGTAATCGTCGCTTCATCCATAGTGGAAGGGACAGCTCCGGTTCGTTTCTGGCAGGGCTGTTAAAGTCAGTCCTCATCTTCCCCGGCGGGTACTATTTCATCCACCGTGGGAAATCCCTCGTCTTCCACCACCTCCACTCCCTCTTCAAGAAGGGGCACGTCACTTTCCGGCACCGGAGCTTCAACAACTCTATCAGTCTGGGAAGGAGCACCAGCCATTTGCCTTCTTTGATTGAAATAAACAAGGATGACGAGGGGAGAAGGGGTAATAGTCACAGTGAACTCTAGCGGAAGCAGAAGAATGGGAAACAATAGAAGGGGAAAGAAGTTTGCAAAGTTCTCTGATAATTGAAAAGTGCAACAATCAAATAGAGGGTTTCTCCCTTGTTTATAGAGACATAAAGGCCTTGAGCGGGAAAACCAAGAGCCGCCAATCAGAAAACGAAAGGGGCGCACGAAACGATACAGGCCTGGGAAACGTGCGCCATGATAACGCATAATAAACATTCATGATATCGTGAATTGATGTGACAATCTAACTCTAAACTAGTGTAACGGTCCAATGAGGTTCCTGGATTGTCACGCCGTTACCTCGTTATAAGGACCTCAACACATGTATAATGATCAGATTTCTCCCAACTTATGAATCAACGGAGTCCGCCTATCGGGCACGCCAAGAGGCGACCCTAACAAGCGGAGGGACTGACTGTATGGATCAAAATCTCACCACAAGTGGATTACCATTAAGGGGAACAGTAAGGGATCGATCAAGCCATGGACGTACCCGTAAGGCGTAATGGCGACAAGCGTCTCGGCCACTGCCGAAGATCAAGCCATCGAGAAGACTTGCACATCAGAATATATGCGGCCGTGCTTGAGCAAGTAAAGAGGAAGATAGTCGAGAAGGGGTATGCAGGTCAAAGACCGTTGGATAAAGGGGAAGTTGGGTAGTGTGTGTGTGTGTGTATATATATATATATATATATATATATATATATATATATATATATATATATATATATATATATATATATATATATATATATATAAAGGATAAAGCAGAAAGCAAAGGGGATCCCAAAAGAGAAAAACAAACAGAAGAGTTGGAGGAGACCTTTGAGTAATAAAGCAAGAAGTCTAGATTACGGGTTACAAATCTTTGTAAACACCGTTGTTGAATCAATAAAGCTAGATCCCAAGTTATCAACGAGATTCCTTCTTTATCTTCTTTGCTTTTACAAATGCACAACAACATGTCAAAGATGTAAGCTTATCAATTATGTTTGATGCCTTTTAATCATTCTAAGAAATATTACATAAACTCAACCTCATTTGATTCTCGTATCCAATATGTCTAGATCTAAAGTTGATTATGTTTGGCTAGGATTTACTTTTATTTTATCATTAATTGGTTTAACTAAAAGGTCCAACACTTTTTGGTCAAACATACAATATGCGTGGAATCAATATAGAAATAATTTAGTACTTATAATAAATTTGTTACATATATGAGCCGAATAAAACGAATAAATACACAGGATTTAATAGACTGATCACTCCAATTAATACACCAATTTTCAAAGCTGGTTATGAATCTTGAATTACACCAACAAAATCAGATTGTAATTATCCAACACTGACAAAACCTTATACTGGCACGTTGTTAGCTAGCTTAGTACCGATCTACCCCCCGAATAGAATAACACCAAATTGTCTCACGTGGCTAGCTTTCACCACCGACCACAACCTCGTCATCATCACCATCATCTCCCCCACCCACCATGAAATTTATGAAATCCACCACCACCCCATTTTTCAAGCCGCCAACCAACAAAGATTCTTGATCATTTTTTTTTTGCCATGGAAACCAGTGAAGACCCAAATAAGCTTTCTTCTACTCTTGTTGACCCCACCACCCAACCCCTTCTAACCCCTCATAACTACCCTGGCCAATCTTCTTTAGACCCAGAAGACCAAACTCAGTTCCTTCAGATCTCTTACAACTTTGGTCCAAGACCCTTTAAAGATCTTCCCTTTCTTATCCTTTTTGCTCTCCTTGTTTTATCCATTTTTGGTTTTGGTATTTTTGCTTCTGTTCATAAAAATCCTCATCATTCTCAACTTTCCTCTTTTACCTACAATTTCACCTCCTCTTCTTGTACCCTTCAAAGTTCTACTTCTAGTTACAACTTTTTTGAACTTTACTCCTCTGATTCTAGTTTTTTGAAGAGTTTGATTTGGACCCTTGTAGTTACTTTAATTTTAAGCATACCCTTTGTGCTGTTTGTGCTTTTCTTGCTCAAGCGTTACACAAAGCAGATAGTTTATGCTTCACTTCCCTTTTTTGTAATTGTACCCGTGTTTCTTGATATTTACTGGTTTGTTGCTTGTACTGTGAGCTCCAAATGTAGTGAAGATTTCCCTTTAGCTTATAGGATTTTGGTGCTTGTTTTTGTGTTGTTGTTAATTGGGCTTCTTGTTTGGATTTTTGTAGCTAATTGGCATAGGATTGAGTTGACTATTAAGATTATTGGGGTTGCTTCTTATGCCCTTTCTAGGAATTTGGGGTTGTTTGGAGTGCTTCCAGCATTGACTTTAGGACTGTTAGTGTATTATGCTCCCATTGTTGTTTTCTTGGTTTTTGCTAGGTTTAATGGAGAGGTTATACCTAAGGAAAAGAATGGGGAGTACTATTGTGTATGGAAACAGGATAGATGGGTTCCTGCTTATTATACTTTTGCTATTCTAACAATGCTGTGGTCTGCGACGGCGATGATTGAGGCACAGGTTTATGTGATAAGTGGGACAATTGCACAATGGTATTTCTCCAAGGATGAATCAGGTCCCAAAAAGTCTATGAGAAGTGCTTTGAGGTCAGTTCATACTCTTTAACTTCGATGGTGAAGTGCCTATCTTTGTATGAGCTTATTCTTAATTATCTATGCAAATGATAGCAGAAAAATAAAAACTGTAGAGAGCACCTTATTGTCCTTCTTCTTGCATGCAATGGCTATGTTTCTGTTATAGTTCTACACTGCAACTGATCCTGGAATTATATTTGTAGTATGTCTGGATTTCATTTCTGGCCCCTTGCATTTTAGGCAGTTTTACTCCCTTTGGCATAGGCATAAAGCCTCAGTAACGAATGACACTAGTCAGTGGTGGTGCATTGACTAGATGGTCCTAGACTAGCTGGAACTCAACCATTCAACTTGTTCATGCTTTCAATCATTACTCAGCTATCAGTATGATTAAGTACCAACAAATGCGTCCCGAGGATTAAAAAAAAAAGAATATAGGAAAAAAACATGTCCTTAGGGCTTTGGTTCAACAGCAAAGTGGCAAAGGTAGTACCACATTGGATGCGTGGTAGGTGCGCATCACAAGTTCGAATAGTGCTGGCGAACCACGTATGGTATTTAAAGTGAATCGGACTTCTCGATTATCAAAAAAGAAAAAGGAAACGTACAATTGCTCTTTCCAGGTGTAACTCAAATCTAATTTGAAATTTCTCGGTTTGGCTGTTTAATTATTAGGCATTATTTTTTCTCTAATCAAACCATGTGAAAGGAGAGTTGAGGGAGGGAGGAGGGAGGAGGGACAAGCATAAGCCACTACCAGGTTTGGCATTATTTACTCTAGTTATGGATGAGTTAATCAACACAATACAAGATGAGGTTCTAGTTATGGATGAGTTAATCAACACAGTACGAGTATGGTTGTAGACTAACTGGAACTTAACCACTTGGCTTGTTCATGCTTTTAATCATTACTCAAAATCAGTATGATTAAGTACCAGAAAATGTGTCTGGAGGAAAAAGAAAAAAAGAAGAATATAGGAAAAACATGTCCCTAGGGCTTTGGTTCAATGACAAAGGTAGTATGACGTTGGATGTGTGGTAGGTGCGCATCACAAGTTCGAATGTTGCTGGTGAACCAAGTATGGTATTTAATGGAGCTGATTTCTTGATTATCATCTACAAGTACTCTTTCCAAGTGTAACTCAAATCTAATTTGAAATCCCTTGGTTTGGCTGTTTTATTATTAGGCATTATTTTTCCGTAATCAAACCTTGTGGAAGGAGAGTTGAGGGAGGGAGGGAGGAGGGACAAGCATAAAGCCACTGCCAGGATTGACACTATTTACTCTAGTTATGGATGAGTTAATTAACACAATACAAGATGAGGTTCTATTGTGTATACTATTTGCTAACATGTTATGCTGATTGATGAAGCCAGCGAGGTTGTCAACCAAAAGTATGAACTATGGAGAAACATTTTAGAGAGTAAGAGTTTTAGGATAAGTAGTAGTAAGACTGAATATATGCAGTTTAGTCAGTATAAGAAGACTGGAATTGAGGTTGATTAGACAGGTTTGTGGTGCCTACATGCAAGCAAATCAAATATCTAGACTCATTATTCCAGGAAAATGGCTTGATAAACGAATATGTACACATAAAATCAAAATTGGATGGTTGAAAAATAGAAGTGCTATCGAGGTCTTAGGTGATAGAAGGATGCAGACCAAAATGAAAGTTAAGTTCCATAAAAACAATCATAACACTAGCAATGTTGTATGGCAGTGACGGTTGGGCTGCAAAAGTCCAACACATCCACAAGATGAGTATCGTGGAAATGCGACGCTAAGATAGATGTGTGGCCATACAAAATTAAACAAGATTAAAATGAGAAGGTCGCTTGAGCTGATTTGGTTGTGTCCTGCATCAACCACTTGATTCACAGGTCCGTAGGTGTGAGACCATGGTAATTGAAGGCGTTTAAAAGGGGAGGAGGTAGACATAAAGGAAATTGTTTCGAAAAATTTACAATCCCTTGGAGTCCATGCAGAGTCTGCGAAAGATAGGGCACAATAGAAGGAAAATATATGTATAGGCGATACCAATTAGTTGGTAGTTTACATGTCCTTTTAAGCAAAAAAGAAATTAGTTGGTTAATACGTTTACTTTAGGTTGTATGATTTCTAGGTGTCTTTGTGCTCTATTAGAGATTTTTGTACCAGTAGAAATATATAGGACTTTTAGTACTTTTATGTTTATATTTTTATTTTGTGTTAAGTTGGCTGAGATTAGTTAAAAATGGAGAAACATGGTCCGTAAGGGTTCATATATCCAACCCCAACTTGTTTGGACTGGGGCGAAGTTTTTTTTTTTCAATTCAATGATGAAATTTTTGCCGTAGTTATTGATGTCGAAATGATGAAGTCGATACTGCTTTGCTATATGTTCTTGTTTCAGCTTCATGAATAACTGCCTGGATCTTTTCTAAATTTTCTGGTTTTTCTCGAGAGCTTTTTTTTGGTGCTAGTTTCTTTTTTCATGATTGTTTTGTGGAAATTCGCAGACATGCGTTTGGTCCATCCTCGGGCACAGTATGTTTCTCTGGGTTACTAATCTGTGTGGTTCGTATGGTTCGTGCTATGGTTGATAATGCAAGACAAGAAGATTCTGGAATTGTGAACCTTATTCTGCGATTTTGTGCCAATACCTTGCTGTCAGCAGTTGAGTTTGTGAATAAATTCACCATAAACTTTGCAGCTATAACTGGTGAAGCATATTGCACCTCTGCTAGGATGACGTATGAACTTCTAAAACGCAATCTTCTATCTCCAGTTTTTGTGGAGACCGTCTCCACTCGCATACTGGCTGGAATAATCTTTGTTCTCTCAACAATATATGCAATATTGGTGAGTCGTTCTGGATATTGATCAACAATATATGCTATATGGTTAAATGCTTTTCATTATCCGCCTTAAAGGAAGAAAAAAATAAGAAAATACGTTTGGTTATTTTTGCTACTAGGTTTTTGTTGTGGTAAGAGCTGCCAGTCATCTTGGTGTCGAAGCATACCTTGTTGCTGCTCTGGCATGGCTGCTGCTGATGGTGGTTCTTGGTTTCTTCGTGCACGTTTTGGATAACGTTATCGACACAGTATATGTTTGCTATGCGATTGACAGAGACAGAGGAGAGGTATGTAAACAGGAAGTTCATGATGTTTATGTGCACCTTCCTATCAGTAGGGGTCATAGTTCCGCCGCTTACGGTGCCAGAAGTCCCCTTGTTGTATAACAAACATTTGGTTAAATTCAATGTGTTGTATTCTGTCTGTAATTCTTCTCCTTTTTCCGGGTTCATTTTGTGATTGCTGAGTTTCCCTGTTAGGCAAGTTGTGCATTGAGTTCTGTATAACAGCGTTTTTCCAATAAAGATGAAAATATGCTATCTGTGCCATTATTTCTGTTAGTTCCTGTTTCACGTTCAGATTACTCAAAGCATGGAAAGAGCAGGTTTTCATTGGTCGTCGGTGGTTTTAGGCTATACTGTATCATGCTTTTGCATCGTTTGATACGTTTGCTTGTTGATACTCATTCATCGCGTCTACAAGGGATCGAGTTAGAAAGTAATTACTTCCATTATTTCTTTGGGATAGCTTAGAAATCTTCGAGGGTCAGTTAGCGCACGGTTCGATGGATAATGGCTCGGTCCATCCGTACTCCACTTAAATACTCGGATTTCATCCCGTGACAGATTTTGAATCAGTTATGTCTATTTAGTTTTAATTTGCCAAAGAACCTTCTTCCCAATGTGTTTGGTAATGGGGCGTAGTTGTTGCCAAAGAACCTTCTCTGGTGCTTCTCTTGTAAATAGACAAAGGATAGCTTGTGTCTGCTAAATTACATCTGCTAGCAACAATTAGAGCTTGTGGTGAACCATGACATTTGGTCCATGGGTAATGACTTTGCTGATTTGGACATCCTCTTTATGATCAGTGATATATGATGCTGACAGTTGTTTCAGCATCCTATGTTGGAAAATCTTTAGGCTACAAAATTTTGTCAGATTGTCATTGTATGATCCTCAAAAGATAAGGAAATAGTGTTTGACTCAAAAGTTGTTTGACACTTTTTAAGCAAATCAATCGAAATAGATGAAGGGGCAAATCGTAGTCAACCTTAATTAACATTGGATCAAAGAACATAATCATTAAAGATGGAAGAATCAATTGAAATAACACCTGGGAGATTTTATTGACTATAGAAATTCGGCCTGCCTCTCCTTGAAGAAGTTTAGGAGATTACAATCAAATCCTTTCAATCCTCCTTGGAGGTGGGATTTTCCTCTCTCTTTCCAAATTTGTTTTTTCTCTCTTTCATGGAGTCCCCCCCCCCCCCCCTTTGGATCCTTCGGGCCCCCTATTTATAGCCCAAAACTTCTCATGCTTATCGTATTTTGTTCGGGCCGGGTCGGGGAGGTGATCTCTCCTCATGGGGAGGCCTTGACCTCGACGCTCATGTCGTGAATAACAGAGATTAGGCGAAGTCGGGTTCGTTGATTATCGCTGCAGGGTGGTCGGGACGGGATCATTGCTGTTGTGGTCGTGTGGTCAAATTCTGACCAATACAGTTAGTCCCTCCGTTCGTCGGGGTCGTATCTTACCGACCTCGGCGGACGGATAATGTTGGTGACGTAATCGTGGAGGGAGTCAGATCCGCGTGTTTTTCTTTGGTCGCGTTATAAATTTCGAAACTGCCCGGAGGCGTCTTTCTAATACCCTTATGCCGTCACGACGGTTTCAAAATCGAAGAGCCGGTTGATAAACGGAACGTAGCTTTGTACAAGCAGTCGCAGTGGCACACGTCCCCTAGGAGCTGAATCGTTTCATGCCCGGCCTGGTTCTGGCGGCGATCGTTGGTTTTTGTGCCTTGGGGAACTTGTCTTATAAATTGAAGGGGGTTTTGTCGTACTCGGTTTCTCACACTTTATCGGTTCATCTTTGAGTAGAATTTCCCGAGAATATCT